CCCCCTCCCCACCACCGCAGCCCCCGCACGCAGCCCCCCACCCCGCACCCCGATACCTGCGTGTGCTTCAAGCATGGTCCCTGTGCCGGGGGGTGTCACACGTGCCGGGGGGTGTCACCCCCTCCCAGCACGACGCAGGCGGCGTTGGACGGGCACTGGGGAGGTGCTGTTCCCCCCCCACCCCAAAACCCCTCGGGGTTCCTCCTCCTTCCCCCCCTTAGCGACTCTTCCTTTGTACCGTGTACAGTAGATTATTTATTTTGTTATTTTGGAATAAAACTTTATTTTATGGCTTATCTTCCTACCCCCTGCTCCAGCCTGGTGGGGTGGGTGAGGAACAGCTCAAAACCCCAAAGCAAGCGCTGATCGCGGGGGTGCAGGGGGGCCGTGTCCCCCTCCATGGGGGTCCCGGTGTCCTCCCCCCCCCTCCACCACCCTGCCGGGGGCACCGGGCTGGCACCTCCGCCCCGGCGCCGTTCGCGCTGCCGCCTGCCGCCCCCGCGGTGACTCATCCCGGCGGCGTGGGCTGGGGGCACCGCGTGCGGCTGCCGCTGCCCCCCCACGCAGGACGGGGCCCCTGCGCCTTGCAGCCCCTCACCCGCGGACCCCCGGCAGCGGCGGGGGCGGCCAGCAATGCACGGAGATGGGGGGGACTGGGTTGGGGGGGTTATCCCAAATCCCCCCAACCCCGCCTTTCCCAGCTGGAGTTTCCACTCCTGCAGGAGCGGGATCAAGTCCATGAACCCAGGCAAGGCTGGGAGGGAGTGGAGGGGGGGTCCCAGTCCGATGTTGTCCCCCTACCCCACGGGAGCCCCCCTCACGCGTGTCCCGGCCGGATGCTGTCATCCCACCGCGCATCCCCCAGCCCCCAGGAGGACAGGCTGGAATTGGGGTACCCGCTGTGCTGCGGGAGGGGCGCGAAGGGGGGCAACAGGGGCACCTCCAGAAGCTGATCCAAGTCCGAGGCTGATGGTTGATCCATGCTGGGCGACATCCTGGGGACATGAAGCAGCGGGGTGAGCGGAGGGGGACTGGGAGGGGCTTCCCCCTGCTGACCCCTCCCCGTGCTCACCACCGCGGAGGGCTCTGCAGCGGCGCTTCCTCCCCGGGGTGGAACGGGGGCAGCTCGGGCATCTCTTCGTCCTGCGGCTCCGCAGAGGGACCCGCGGGCAGCAGCTGCGAGACCTCGCCGGGCATGTACTGGTTGGGCACGAAGGGTCTGGGGTGGCAAAGAATGGAGTAGCTTCTGTCCTCGCAGGGCACTCAGCAGCCCCGAGGTATTGGGGGGCACTGCTTGGTTTGTGGGGGGCTGGGGTGGGGTTCCTCCTCCTGGGTCAGCTGGGGTGGCCACTGCAGGTCTGCCAGCCCAGGATTTGGGGGGAAGAGGGGGGAAAGGGGTGCTCCCCTTCCACCTGTGTGCCAGGTCTTACCCGGAGGGCCTGAAGGCAGGGTCCTGGCAGTGGGACAGCGAGGGAGGCGAGAGAATCGGTGATGGGCTGTGGGGAGCAGGAGCACTCAGAGAGAGGGGAACACCCCTGACCCTGCTGGGGGTGGAGGGGTGTCCGGGCTGCCCCCCACCCTGCCCTGCTCCTACCTGTGGAAGGGGGGGGTGAGCCTGTTGGGCACCATCATGATGTCCCTCTCAACCGTGGGGTAGCCTGCGGGCATGGGCTGGGGGCAGAATGGAGTGGGGGGGCTGCAGTGCACACACAGAGAGGTTCAGATTGAGGGGGGGCCACTGCCACAGCCCCCACCCCACGCCCCACAGCGGGGCACTCACCAGATGGGGGCCAGCAGATTCTCAGGGTGCAGCTCGTGCTGCAGCATGGGCAGGTTGAACATCGGTGCCTGGGGGGCCTCGGGGGGGGCCCCCATGGTGCTTGGAGGCTGCTGGTCCCTGCAAAAGCACATGGACCCCATCAGCACTGGCAGGTCCAGGCTCTGAAGGGGGACACGTGCCAGTGGGTGCTCAGGGGGCGGGTGGGAGGTGCACAGACGTGCCCCAGTGCAGTTTGGGGGCCCACGGGGGGCTCTTTGCTCACCAGCACAGCTCTGTTTTTCCCAGTCAGGGATTTCCCTGCCCAGGGGCATGCTCAGGCTGGCCAGGGGTCTGTGCAAACTCTGGCCCATGTGCACACACCTCCAGCACAGATATGGCCTCACACCCACCTTTCACTTTCCACAGTCATCTTGATGGCAGTGGAGACGTAGCCCCGGCCGTCCTTGCCCGTCTGCTCTTCTGCTCAGGGAGGAGAACCATCCATGAACCACCACCCCCACCATGCCCTGCCAACCCTCTCTGCCAGCCCCAGCTGCCCCTGCAAGCCCTGGGGCCAGCTGGGTGACACCCATGACCCCCTGCAGCATTGCTGGGGTGCAGAGGGGCAGCCCAGGGCCTCTCCACTCACTGTTGTAGTGACTCCCAAAGGCCTGGTCCTTGGGGATGTTGGGGTACAGGTTCCGGAGCTGCCCCAGGTCCCGGATGCGGTCGCCGAGCGAGCGGATGGACAGATCCTTGGCAGAGAAGGGCTGGATGTTTTCCACCTGGCTGGAGCCTGAGCGAGGGGAGGCACGTCACTGTCGGAACCCAGAGCATCTCTCTGGATGCCCTGGATGTCTCAAAGCCCTGGCAGGGGCTCGGAGACCCTGGCAGGAAGCCAAAGACACCTGGAAATTTCACAGCCGACCCCGGCACGTCACTGCATTCCAGTGCTGGTTCCTGTAGCTGCCCACACGCCCTGGCAGTGAGGAACCCCCCCTGCACCGCACCCGACCCCGTCTCACCGTCCTTGCCGCGCATGACGTAGGCGATGGTGACGCCGCCGATCTCGGAGTCGCTGAAGCGCAGCAGGAAGGTCCCGTCCGGCTGCATGCTCAGCAGCTTGCACACATACTGCTTGCTGATGAAGCCCATGATGAGCCTGGGGAGGTGGACAGGTGGGGAACAGGGGTAAGGATCACCCATGGTAGTGGGGTGGGATCAGGACACCCCCCAAAGCCCAGCCCTGGGGCACCCACCTGTCCGACCAGTAACTTTTGAGGCATCTCTTGGTGAGGTCCAGGACTCCATCAAACCATTGCCAGAAGGTGAATCCCCGGCCAGGGAGGATCTCCTGAGGCAGAGGGGGGTCATGAGGTTCCCCATGGCCACACTGGCCCCTGCCCACCCTGGCCATTCCTCCCAGTCACCTTGTTGAACTGGGCCCAGGAGACGTGGCGGCTCTGGAAGTCCTCGGGGCTGGCGCTGTGGTCATTGAAGATCTTCTGGGCCAGGAAGAAGTAGTGCTCCTTGAGGAGCCCCTTGGTGGTCTGCACCTCTGCCATGAACTTCAGGTTCAGGGTGTCACACATCTTGTCCCAGGGCACCCGCTCGGCCACCACGAAGGGCACCCGGTCCTGGGGGGTCATCAGGACAGGATGCCACCATGTCCCATCCCTGGGCTCCTGCTCCCACCTGCATTGGTGGGAGTCAAAGCCCAGTCAGCCCCAGGTTCCAGCTCCTTCCCTCGAGCTCGTGGCACTCACAATGTCAGAGAAGGCGTTATCCCACAGCACGGTGGCTTTGGCATTGTTGTCCTGGTTCCCGTGGACAATGACCACAATGGGCAGAGACAGGACCTGGGGGCACAGAGCAGCCCTGAGCCAGGCATGGTGGCTGCCCTGGGACTGCCCCAGTGCAGCACACGTGTCCCACAGGGGAAGGCTCAGCACATCCAGCCCCATCCCGTGGTACCTGGAGGTGGATGGAGACGTTGCTGGGGGTCAAGGTGACGTTGGTGCTGAACAGGACAGCACATTTCTCCTCTGTCACCGACTCTGAGCCCTTCCGCTCGCAGCGCTTGATCTTCTTCAGCAGCTGGGGAGGGAGAACTGACCATCCTCAGCCTCAGGACCCCAAAAACCCAAAGGAGCCTCCAGCCCACCCCTAGCTGGTGGCACTTACCACATTTTTGAAGTTGGCACAGCAGTTCCCGCTGGTGGGGTTGGTCTCCAGGGCCACCGTGTTGTGCAAGATCTCCCCCGTGCTCTCACTGGGCAGAGAAAGGGGTCAGGGGGGAAACAGAGGTGGGGAAAACCCCCTGCCCCCACACCCACTGCTCACCTGAGGGTGTTGCTGTAGTTGCTGAGCTCCAGCTCCCGTGCCTGCTTCTCTGTCACCATGTCAGCCCTCACCATGTAGGGCTTGGGCGCTGCCTTCAGCAGCCGCGGGCCCAGCAGGAACCGGACGCTCGCCTGGAACTTGGTCTGGGTCTTCAGCACCTGTGGGGGCTGCTTCTCCACCAGGAAGGAGCTGAGGGACAAAGGGACACCATGGCACTTGGCACAACGCCCTGCCAGCTCTGCCAGACCCACCTTAAGCCATGGTGACCACAGCCCTCAGTCTGTTACCTCTTGACCAGGCCGGACAGCACCTCCTTGAAGCGCTCCAGGAGCCGGGGCAGCAGCTCAGGCCCCAGCTCTGTGCTCGCTGCCATCACCTGCTGCTGCAGCTGGAAGTAAACCTCGACCAGGTTCTCACACCTGGGGAAAGGGGGACCCCTCAACACCCCAGCCTCACTCACCCAGAGCCCTTTGGGCCGGCAGAGGGAGCAGGAGGTTGCTCAGGATTCCCCAGCCCTGCCCTGTGCCCCCTCACCTCTTCTGCAGCGGTGCCAGATTCTCCTCAAAGATGGCCCCATTCCCTGCCAGCTGCTGTTGTCTCTTCCAAATCTGGATCCTCTTCAGGAC